GAAAGCATGCAGAGAGCTGCTACCAAAAAAATGAGCCAGATTGTTCCGAGGCTAACCCCTGACCCGTTCCCTCCTCTCTCAAGCCTGGAATCCCAGAGAACTCCTGGAAGGAAGCCAGGTCCTACTGGGAAATCCCCAGTCCTCAAAGTCTCCCTGGTCTCCGGGTGTTCCTTGAAGACACCAGACCTCAGAGTAGGACCCTTGCCTTTCTGGCCTCGGTCTCCCGCCCTGCATAACGAACACAGAGGACCTCCAAGGCTCTTCCAGCCATGAACTATCACAATGTTCTAAGAGGTGTATGAGAAAACATCACACCTCCTGGCCAATCCAACATAGACACAGCCCCAGCAAGGGGGGTCTGGCCATGTCCTCACACTCTGTGTCCCACCACCAGACTCACAAACACCAGCCAGGTCTCAGGGGCGTCCAGCTGGGACAATATGCTTGAGGTGGAACTTCTGTTTGAGCTGCGTTGTCTTTGACTCATGTAACCACACCACAGCCAGGGCTAAGAGGCAGCAAAGGGTCTCAAACTGGGGCCTGCTGAGGCCTGCTGGGGCCTGCCAGGTCTGCTGCAACAGGTAACTCAGCAAAGGAACAAGAGACCTGCCCAAGCTCCAGCACTTCCCTAACTGCAGGGAAGTCCATGAAGGCTTCCTGGAGGCAGAGGTTTAGGAAGGCCTTGAGTTGGAACACCAGCGACTGATTTGGCCCAGCCTTCCCCCTGGGCACCTGGGAAGGTGAATTTACAATCTCCTTGCAGAACATGATGACCTTCCCAAGATATATCCCAAGCAATCCTGATACCCTGGGCTTGGGGTTTCTCAAGAGTCCTGCGTCAAATCCCCTGGCACATACCCGGAGTCCTGAAATTCCCAGAGCTGGTCTCTTTCAAATGTTCCCTCCTCTGAGAGATCTAGTCCCTTGGCCCCACTCCTGGGAGCCGTGGAGCAGGGGGCCCAGGAGGTCTGGCTTTGGGATGGTGAGAGGACAGCTGACTCAGCTGAGCAAGGTCCAAACCGAGACTCTGGAAAGGCAGGTTCTAGACCCAGCTCTGCCACCACCTTCTTCTGTGCCCTTGGGGAAATACCTACCCTCCCCAGGCGCCAGTGTCCCCCTGTTGATGAGGGCTTTGAACATCTGAACATTGGAATATCTGAACATTTGAATGTCCAGCTCTAACACTGTAGGATCGGTATTTTACTGACTCGAGTTACCGGGTTTGATACAGTCCAGCCCACTGGCTCCTCCCCTCAGAGGCCAACAACTGGGAGCAAATAAACTGGTTCCTCCAGCCTGGAAGGCCCAGCCCTGTGGCCCCAGCCCAGTGTCTCCAGACGGTCCTGCCCCAGCCTGAGAGGTTCCAAGACCCTCTGTTTCTTCTTGGCTGGGGCCTCCCACTTGTACTGCCCCAGGACTGGCAGATACTCCTGCCACCCTGCTGGGGAGCCAAAGGAGTACCCCAGGGCATAGGGAGTAAGACAGGGGCAGTGCAGTTGCCAGGACCAGAACAAACCCTTCCCAGCCTGGCAAAGCCTCTCCCTACCCTCCCAGGAGTCCTCTTATATCAGCCAGAGGGACCTGTGGAAACACCCAAATCTTAACCGTGTCACTCCTGCCTTCGATGCTCTCCAGACTTCCTTTCAGCTCTCTGCACCCCTCTAGGAACCCAACACCCCAGCCAGCCAGCCAGATTTCCCCACCACTGGGCATCTGCTGCCCACCCACCCCCATGCCCACCTGGCAGCAGTCCCTCCACACTTACATCTTTCCCATTCCAACCTCCTACCCTTCGTTCAAGCCCTTACACACACCCCCCACCCCCTCACCCCCCGGGAGCCTGCCTCTTGCCACCTCCCTGTCCAAATTCTGCCAGCCTTTGAAGCCCAACTCCTAAAGAAATCCAGCCTTCGCTGTTTCAAGCCACCAGTGGCCTCCCCTCTGTCTGTGCAGCACTGAGGCCCGCCCATGGGTGGGTCTTACTGCAAATTATCATTTCCTAAGTGGAGCTCCTGGGTCCTCCCCCAACCCCAGCCCCCACCTCCCTACAGCTGACTGGCATCCCCAAGGTAGGCCTCTCTTCCCGCTTTGTCCACCACACCAAGAGCGCCCTCAGGGCAAGACCAAGGGCTCTCGCTCCCAGGCCTTTCCTCTCAAGACTGAATGTGGGAACCATGACAATCTTGGTCTGTGTGACTGAAATCTCCCCAGAGATTGGGAACTGGGAATCACTCATTTAGGATCCATCCTCTGTGATTTATTCAATCCTTTCCAGGACCTGATTACATGTTCTCTTGTACCTGGGTTCTCCTGGCAACATGAAAGCCCTTTCATGGCCTCCCTTCAGCTCCTGTCTGACACAGTTGGCACAGCCATGACTGGCTGCTCAGGCCGTGCACTACACAACTCTGGGGACGCCATTTACTAGACTATGTGAAAACACCCAGAGTCATGCACAATGGTGCCCTGAGGCCCAAACCCCTCTCTCTTCCCTCAGTAGGTGGTCCCTTTGGCCATGTTTTAGAGGGAATGCCTCACAAATCATGCAGCAGGCCCCTCACTCACAAGCCAGGTTCCCACAGCCTCCATCCCTGGACTTCAGCGTCCCTTGGTTCTAATGTCATCTCCAGAGTGAAGGCCTGATTATTTATGACCATCAGTCTGTGCAAGCAAGGTCCCTACATGGTCATGAATAGCCACCCCTCTCTGTATTATATCCGCTCCCTGGGCCTCAGTTTCTCTAGCTGTAAAGAGTGGGACTTGGGACTCTGTCTCCAAGGACTGCCCCTGTACTAAAGCTCACCAGTCTATTACACAGAGACTGCCAGTGGGGGAGATGTGACTCCCATAGGCACATGACTGCATGCTGTTTTCAATTCAGCAAGCTTTAGGAGCCTAAGGAAGAGGGACATTTACAAAACGCAAAGTAGCCTGGAAGAGTTGAGAAAAGGAGGAGTGATCGGATGTTGCTGGGGTCCATCCCAAAAGGCTCCTTGGAGCGGCTGCTGAGTATGGGAGACAAGAGCCTGAGCAGTTCGATCCACAGAGGAGGGGAGTCTGTGCTGCCCTGAGGGACAGGGCCAAGCGTGAAATTGCAGGAGGAAACACAAACTGTTAGAACAGTACGAGGCACTGATGCTCAAAGCAGGGCAGTTTTTCTTCACGTGTCACTGGAACACATTTCCACGGACTCTCAGGCTAGGAACCAAAGGATCCACAGGCCAAGGCAGAGAGGCTGGGACAGCAACCCCATTCCACAAGGGGGGTGACCTATTAGGGCAGTGATGGAGAAAACCCATCACTTAGAGTCCTGAGAATCCAACAGAGCTGGTCCTGTGAGCAGGGTCTGCCCAGACCCTCTGGGCCACCTTGAGGGAGCGATTTTTCTGAGTACGTGTTTCCAGATTTTTTAAAAAGGAGGAGAGGAATATTTCCTGCTTCCTAGGATCATTGTACACGTTGCCTGGTGCATAGTACAAGCAGTAAGTGTTAACTGCTATTGTGATGGCAGCGCCCTGGCAGGTGATCTGCAAGGGGTGTGCATGCACACGCACACATGCACACACAAAGCAGGGTGGCAGGCGGACAGACACCCTGTCTTGCGCACTTTGGGAGGAGTAGGGGTGGGTAAGGACCCAACTCAGTAGATAAAGGAGGGAGATAGGCTTTTCCAGCCTCACTGGTGTCATCTCACTGTGCCTCCCCCAGGAAGGGAGAAGGGAGGGAAGTGAGAAAGGGGGTGTTTAAAATGTGTTCCACAATTTCTGTGTCTCACACAACCAGCCCCAATAGGACAACTCGGGGACAGAATGGGAGTATGTTCTCAGGTACCTAAATCACACACCCAGCACATGTAGAAGGGACATCTGAACCCAGTCCAGGGTCTGGGGCAGCATTTGTGGGGTGGCAGTGGATTTACAAACAGCCCAGTGGTATCCACACCAAGTGTGTGTGCCGGTGAATTCACACTCATTCCATCACTGTCGTCACTATGGGTAGAGTGTTGGGGTTCATGCCAGGCCAATGCTTAGTTCCCAAGGGATGGCATGGCACCTGCCAATGTCACTGGTTGGGTATGAGTTCATGGTAGATTTGCACACGCCAGCTTCACAAGGCAGCCCTACTGAGACCAGGTTTGCTGCCTCCACTGTATGGCCAGCCCTGCGGGCTTTCCTCAACCTGGGCCTCCCAAGGTACCATCAGGCCCAGAGTGTGCAAACAGGGGCAGAGTCTGGTCCACGTCCTGATCCCCAGTGCCCAGCTCAGGGCCTGCTACAGAGCAGATGTTGGTGAATGAACGTCTGTCTGAATGAATGAATGAAAGAATGACTAACGCCCACTCCCTCGCACCTCGGTCTACACCTCTTGAGTCTGAGAGAGGGCAGTGCCCACCAGACCCCAAAAGAGGCCCCCCCACCTTCAGACCTCCGCACCTGAGGCTCTGCCTCAGGGGTCCAGGTGGGGGGAGGGGTCGGGACGGTCACTAGCGGGCGCGGCGCAGAGCACCCCTCCTTCCCAAGAAGAAATCTGGGTCTCCTGGCTGAGCTGGGGGCGGGGGGGTTGTGACGTCCTGGATAGAGCGAGCGGCAGGACAAGGGGGCGCGTCCCGGTTTGCTTTGGGGGGCGTGGGATGGAGCGGCGACCGTGGGACAGCCCCTTTGGTCCCAGAGCCTGGTCTACCCAGGGCCTCCGGAGGGTGGTGAGAGCTGCCACAGCTGGATTGAACAGGGGCGCCGCAGCCCTGGTCCTTTCCAGCGGGGCCATGGTGAGTGGGACGTGGTGTCCCACGAGGTGACCCGGGGCTCAGGAAGGACGCGGGGCGCGCGGAGCCCCCTCTGCACGCGCCGGGGTTCCGGCCTCGCCGCCGCCCGCTGCAGCCCTCCCGGAACCTCCGCCCACCTGCGCGAGGGGCTCACCTGGGCCGGTCGCCCCTCCTCGAGCCGCGCGGGTCCCTCCCCTCGGCCACCGGCCCTGCCCTCCTGGCGCACGCCCGCCCTCACCTGCACGGCCCGCCTTGGCCATGTCCCGGGCGGCGGGCTCCCGCTGTGCTGCCCAGTTCCTCGCGGTTCCCGGGCCCGGCCCCGGTCCCAAGCCGCCTCCGGCCCGAGCGGACTCCGAGCGCCGCGCCCCGCGCCCCCGCCCC